CTTGTTTCAGGTGTTGCAGAAATGGCCGGTACCGAAGCCCGCCGTACGTACCGTCTTGCCCGCATTTGGGGCAGGCGGGTACCTGCCACCGGCGTCCACCACCTGCACGGGGTTTGGCGTTACAGATGTCGCGAGAGGCGGCGGGAGGCTGCCGGGGCGTCGCGTCGAGCCTGCTTGGGGCAATTCATTGCTGGATAAAGAGCGTCGATGGTATGACGGGCAGTCAAGATCGCGAACGAGTAACCCACTCGCGTCTTTACGCAAATAAAAGGCTATGGGGTTACTACGGTCTAAGTCACTGAGTCGCGAATCTCGAGCTACGGGACGAAGAAAATCTCATCGTCTATGCACCAGGGCATTAAGGCATTGATATTGATTCCCTATGGAGTCACCAACACCGTCATCACCCGCCGACCACGGTTCGCCGTGGGCTGCGCGAGCGAGTCCCGCAGAGGAGACACATGGCGGCAGGGAACCGCCTCGGGCGCCGGACCTGTCAAGTGCAATGAACCTGCTACACTCGCGCGAAAAGGGCCCTTCATTATTGGGGCTTAATGTGTGTGTGTCACGACTCACCTGCATCGGAGTCCAGACGAACCACAATGACGACGGAGATGAACCTGAGGCAAGCCCACATCCGAGCTGCTGCTGCACGCTTCCAAGCGCCAACAACCAGCAAGGACTCGAACCAGGAATGACGACGACCATAGCGACGGGCTCACTATTCCACTGCCCCGTCGTTAAGCGTCTCCGCGCGATGAGGCGCAAAAAATTAAACTCGCTCGAGTCTCGCGGCGTAGCGTGGCGGTGACGAAACAAAGGTGAGGCAGTCTTGACGCCGGCCCGGGGGAGGCTGTCACGGGATCCGCGACACGGGGGGTCGCGCCGTAGCACACACACACGCGCACACACAACAAGCACCCGCAAGCGTGCGGCAAGACGTTGGCGCCTGACGGGCACTAATACCGCTGCTGTGCTGCAATGCGAAGAGAGATACGGTATTTACTTGGACTGCCCACCAGATCGATCTCTGTGCAACGATAAGGAGCGAGCTTGATGATGAGTGGGTTACACGGTCACGCAAGTGGCCGCTTTGTCATGTAGGATGGAACTGTCGGAAAAGGATTTGCTAGGTTCTGTGTCCTGGGGCATCGTCGACATGCGCTTGCAGACGCCTCACGATACTATTGCCTTGAAAGACGGACACTGCTGCGGGCCGCGTCGGATGTCGCGATGGCCTGGCGTCCTCGCGCCATGCGGTGCGATATGAGCTGCCAGAGCCAGCGGGTCTGGTCTCGTTGGGCACGGCACTGTCCAGTGGGTGGTGTGGTGATGCTGACAGAATCTTGACGGTCACTACCTCATCATTTGGGGCCTCGAGTATAGTAATACTAAGGAAACCTCCTCAGGGAACAGCAATCAATTGAGGCGGAAGGAAGAGTTGGAAATCCGACTCCAAGATAGGCGTGCGTGGGCTACCAAGGTAACAACAACCTGGAAGGCAATAACGGAGCACGTGGACGATCGCCGAAAGCATGCAACCACTCCAGTTGACGGCTGGAAGCCCTCTTCCTGAAGTAGACGACTCATCTAATAAACCTCCGCAGTGCCCCAATTGGCCAGCCTGCCTCGCTGCGACATACGGTATCTGCAATGCCACGAGAAACCCTCAAAGCGGCAGCACACAATGTCGCAACCCGCCGAAGCTGTCCTTCGCACGTGGCAGGGCCGCAACAGGCGATCAATATGTTAACCAACTGATTGACAACCTGAGCAAGCATCTGCGTCTCGGTCAGCCCGATGCGCAAGTCACACCGAACCCTGCTAGCGAAGGAGCGTTGGCGCCCGTGATTACGCCGCCGCTGCCGATGGAATCATGGCATCGGGCGATGACGTGCTGGCGCGATGCCCTGAGAGGCTGAGAGCGCGGAAGGCGCTGCCCGGGCCCTGGCCTGCCTGCCCGTCCGCCAACCGCGGGGCCACAGCTCCGGGGTGACAGGCAGGGCGGGCAAGGCGGGCTCCAGGCCTGCTGAGCCCACTGTATCAATCCACCTGCGGGCGAGTTAAAGTGGACGACTTCCGAAGAAGCACAAGAGCTCTCCCAAACTCTTCATCATCCCTTGTTTCTCGCTCACCCCGCGCACATCACTCTTGTCATCACAGCGACGAAAAGCGCGCATGGAGAGTCTGTGCTCATCGGCATAAAAGCGTCTTTGCCGGAAGCGACCACCAGCACGGGAGGCAAGCGCAAGAAACACTCCCGCAGTGACCAGTCAGCCCAGCGAGTCCAAGTCCAGACGAACCCGTCAGGGCGCGGGATCGACATGCGGCGCCCCCACCGCATCTGGCGCCCGCTTCCATTAGCGGCGGCGCCGCGCTGCAGCGAGTACCTCGGGCGCGCACGCCATGGCGCCATGCCTCGAGGAAGGCCTGGGCAAGCTTCGCGACATGACGGAGAGAGAAGAAAAATCCTCGAGCAAGATGCGCAGCGCCTTCGCCTCGTTGACATGTCTAGCTAGCCCCGTCAACGGCGACATGCTGGAGCAAACACCATCGCCCTTCGGGTTACCGTCGCCGGGGGCCGGCCTCTTTCGCCAGGGACGTGAACTGTGCTTGTACTTGGTAGGTTCGGGTGACCTCCACGCTGTGGCACCGGCGATCCTGCGAGCTCCAACCCGTCGCCGCCCTGTGGGTTGCCGGTCCAAAGTCTAGTTAGCCTGGGGATGGGATGGGGATGGGATTGTACGAAGATGGTGTTGTGACGTCCGGACGTGCATATACAAGTACCTGGGGCCTGCCCAAGCTGTCGCCTACCCCCCGTGTGCTGCTGCCCTTTTCACCTTTACGCTCGAGCGGCCCTTCCCATCTGCTCTCGACGACATCTCTCCCCTGACCAGCGCGCGCCATCCCGTCATCTCGCATTACGCGCCAAGGCGAACCATCATGGGCTCCGACAAGACGACCGACGTCGAGGACGTCGCGCCGCCGTACCAGTCGGGCAACGTCAGCGACCTCAGCGACGACGATGCGGCCATTATCCCCAAGGGCGCGCTGGACCCCGTGTACGAGGCCAAGGCGAGGATCCTGAACCGCGCGGTATGGACCCTCCCTCTCTCAATTGATTGATTTGCGCGCTGGAGCGTGCCCGTCTTTCGTGCGGGCGATGGTTCGTTGGAAGTTTCCACACGCCATCGCCATGTTCTGGGGCACCGGATGGGGATGCGCAAACTCGGACCAAAAGAAACAGAAAATATCGAGATTGAAATCGAGCATGGCTGACACACGAGAGTGCGCAGATTCGCGAGATCGGCATGGGCTGGTACCAGTGGCAGCTCTTCATCGTCGTCGGCTTCGGCTGGGCCAGCGACAACCTCTGGCCCATCGTCACCTCGCTCGTCTTCACGCCCATCGCCAACGAGTTCAACCCCGCGCGCCCGCCGCTCTTCACCCTCGCCCAGAACATCGGCCTGCTCGCCGGCGCCGTCTTCTGGGGCTTCGGCTGCGACATCTTCGGCCGCAAGTGGGCCTTCAACCTGACGCTCGGCCTGACCGCCGTCTGGGGCCTCATCGCTGCCAGCGCCCCCAACTTCGCCGCCGCCGGCGTCTTCGCGGCCCTGTGGTCCTTTGGCGTCGGCGGCAACCTGCCCGTCGACTCGGCCATCTTCCTCGAATTCCTGCCCCAGTCGCACCAGTACCTCCTCACCGTGCTGTCCATCGACTGGGCCGTCGCCCAGGTCATCGCCAACCTCGTCGCCTGGCCGCTGCTCGGCAACCTGACGTGCCCGCAGGAGGAGAAGCCGTGCCCGCGCGGCGACAACATGGGCTGGCGCTACTTTGTCATCACCATGGGCGGCCTGACGCTGCTCATGTTCCTTGCGCGCTTCGTCCTCTTCTCCATCTTCGAGTCGCCCAAGTACCTCATTGGCAAGGGCCGCGACGACGAGGCGGTCCGCGTCGTCCACGAGGTCGCCCGCCGCAACAAGAAGACGTCGACGCTCGCCATAGAGGAGCTGCGCGCCTGCGAGCCCGACGGCTACGTTGCGCAGACGACGGCCTCGGTCGCGCTGCGCCGTCACCTCGAGAAGCTCGACGCCAAGCACGTCAAGGTGCTCTTCTCGACGCCGCGTCTCGCTCTGAGCACCGGCCTCATCATGGCCATCTGGGCGCTCATTGGCCTCGGCTACCCGCTCTACAACGCCTTCCTGCCCTACATCCAGGCCACACGCGGCGCCGAGTTCCAGGACGGCAGCACCTACATCACCTACCGCAACAGCCTTATCATCTCCGTCCTCGGCGTCCCCGGCGCCCTGCTCGGCGGCTTCCTCGTCGAGCTGCCACGCATCGGTCGCAAGGGCACTCTGTCTCTGTTCACCGTCCTCACCGGCGTCTTCCTCTACTGCTCGACCACGGCGCTCAACAGCACCGCCCTCCTGGGCTGGAACTGCGCCTTTAACTTTTGCAGCAACGTCATGTACGCCGTGCTGTACGGGTACACACCCGAGATCTTTCCCACGCCGCAGCGCGGTACGGGCAACGCCCTGGCCGCGACCTGCAACCGCATCTTTGGAATCATGGCTGTGGGTCGTTCGTGTTTGCTTTGTCGTGATCCCTTGCTAATCTGTCGCAGCCCATCATTGCCATGTTTGCGGATCTCAAGACGTCCGCGCCCGTCTACACGAGCGGCGCACTGTTCATCCTTGCGGGCCTGTTAGTTCTGATCTTGCCGTTTGAGTCGAGGGGAAAGGAAGCGTTATAATGTTGGTCTTGCAGAGGGATGTTGGATTGAAGCCGTCCTTGGACACGAAGTGTGACTACACCAGAGGGAAGCACGAGGCTGAAGGATGGCGGTGATGGAGAGCGCCGTAAATACCTTGTTCAGCGTCTTCGGACCAACAGTCTTCGGCAATGAATTATCGACTCGTCAAGCGGCGAGGAAACGCAGTTGCCCGTGGCTGGACGCGGTGGCGACGACTCTGCCTGCAATGCGCCGCCCACCACGCTTACCCCAGGGAAGATGAATCACGACCATGACGAGACCTGGCGCAGAGCCTTGGCTGCACGCATGAGACTGCGGATCGACAACCCGCCAATGCCATCCGGACCACTGGGACATATCCGGGATAACAAGATGAATGCTCGCTAACTGTGATGACCACTAGACGACCCGATCCTGGCCCGCGATGGCCGCCGCTCGTTGGCCTTGACGGGCCTCCCTGTCCAGTGCCATGACATCCGCCCAGACTCGATGATACCCCCAGCGTAGAACGCCAATTCGGAGAAGTCCAACGGCTCAGGAGCATGTGCGGCCTGCCATTTCCAGGCCGTTTGTTGAATCATGGGACCTACGTGGATGCTTCTTCTCCATGAAGGTGCCCACGGCCCGGGCGCCGTAGCCGTATAACTCTAGAGTACAAAGACCATGGACTGCTCAAGCCTACATAAGATCAATGCGACTGTATGTGATTCCTTTCAATCGGATGAGAAAGGGTGCGAATCCGAGTGAGCCGGACGGGACCATTGAGGCGTCACGTGGGCATTTTCCTTTGTTGTCCAGCTCAGTTTCAGGCAGGCAGTTGCAGCTCCGCCACTCTCCCTTTCTCCATTGTTACGCGCGAGCCACTTGGGCCCGGCCCAACCGAGCTGACTAGCTGGCAGGTCAGCACAGCTCATCGCCGCCCAGCCCAGCTCAGCTCGCGTCCCACCTGAAACCTCACCTCGAGTTCATCGGCGCGGACTCGCAGCAATTGAAAAATGGGCGACAGACACAAGCCTAGCTCGGCGCCGCAGCCCATCTTCTCGTCCGGCCGAGTACCTGACGGCAACAGCACATCCGCTGCGGATGCTCCCGACTTGCGCCTCTTCCACTACAACGATGTCTATCACGTCGATCGTGCAAGCGCGGAGCCCGTTGGCGGGGTGGCGCGCTTCCTCACGCTCGTCAAGGAGTATCGCGATGGGAAGCAATTCGAGGGACAGCCGAAGCTGCTGACCTTGTTTTCTGGCGATGCCTTTAACCCGAGCCTCGAGAGCAGCGTTACAAAGGGTGCGTGCCTACCTCCCGTCCGTACTTGGCTGAGAGGCCTTGTCGATTGAGACACCGATGCTGACGACCATCTCAGGCCGCCACATGGTCCCCGTGTTGAATGCCATTGGCACCGATTGCGCGTGCGTCGGGGTGAGCACACACCTCGGCCATAGACAGAGGCGAGTAGGCATCTTACTGACCGGATAGAACCACGACTACGACTTTGGCATCAAGCAGTTCGAGCACCTTGCTGGCAAGTGCAACTTCCCATGGCTGCTCGCCAACGTCCTGGACCCCGCCTTGGGCGAAAACGTACCCATGGGCAACGCCAAGCGCACGCACATGCTCACGACGTCCAACGGCATCAAGGTCGGCCTCATTGGACTCGGCGAGCGTGAGTGGCTCGCCACCCTCAACAGCCTGCCGCCCAATCTCGTCTACAAGTCGGCCAGCGCTACAGCTCGCGAGCTCGTGCCCCAGCTGCGCGCGCAGGGTGCCGACATCGTCATCTGCCTGAGCCACATGCGCGAGCCCAACGACAACAAGCTCGCCGAGCAGACCGATGGCATCATGGACATCATCCTCGGCGGGCACGACCATTACTACAGCCACAGCTTCATCAAGGGCACGCATGTTCTGCGCTCGGGCACCGACTTCAAGCAGCTGAGCTACATTGAGGTGCGGCGAAAGGCCGACGGTACCCAGGGCTGGGACTTTGACATTTGGCGGCGCGACGTTACTTCTGACGTGGCCGAGGACGAGCACGCCGCCCAGCTCGTGCGCGACCTGACGTCAAAGCTGCAGAGCTCGCTCTCGAGGCCGGCGGGGTGGACGGCCACGCCCCTCGACGCGCGCTTCAGCACGGTGCGCATGCGCGAGTCCAATATCGGCAACTTTGTGTGCGACGTGATGCGGCGGTACCACAACGCCGATTGTGCCCTCATGGCTTCGGGCACCATTCGCGGCGACCAGATTTACCCGCCAGGCGCGGTGCGCATCAAGGACATTGTGACATGCTTCCCATTCGAGGACCCGGTGGTGCTGTTGCGTGTCAAGGGCCAGGCGATATGGGGTGCTCTCGAGAATTCCGTGTCGACATATCCGGCGCTAGAGGGGCGCTTCCCGCAGGTGTCGCACATTGAATTCGAGTTTGACCCGCGCAAGGAGAGCGGCAGGAGGCTCAACTGGGTGAAGATTGGGGGCGAGCCGTGTGAGCCGGAGAGAAAGTACACGCTCGCCACTAGGGGTTACATGGGACGTGGAAAGGGTAAGCAACACCATCCAGTCTTTCGTTTAGTGAGAGACGAGGCTAACCGTCGCAGATGGGTACACGAGCTTGCTGGTAGTGTCAGAGGGCGGTGAAGCCGAGGAGCTGGTGGACGAGGAAAACGGCATCCTCATCTCGACCATGCTGCGGCAGTACTTTATGGGACTGCGGACGGTCGGCCAGTGGAAGAAGCTCTCGGCGCACTGGGTCGGCGTCGCTGAGGAGGCTGACGTGCCCAAGTCGCCGTCGAGCCCGCGAGCCAACAGGTCAGCCGAGGCCGCCGCTCTGCCCGCCCACGCCCACAAGGAGGTCGAGTCAAGCAGCGAGTCCTGGCGCGAGTTCCTCCTACGGCGGCTTGGGTTGCGCAAGAAGCCCCTAGACGACGACGAGGACGATCATTTTGACCCGCACCGGGACACCACGAGCAGCAGCGGCAACAGCAACGGAGAGGAGAGCGACTCGACCGACGACAAGATGGACTTTCAGATCCTGCTGATGCGCAAGTTCTGGGCCCGGTGGGCGGCACGGGCGGGCGTCAAGTCGTGCGTGTGCGACTCGGCTCAGGGCGACTGCACCGTCGACTGGACGAGAGTGATTGCGCCGTGCGTCGAGGGCAGGATCCGGATGGTCGGAGGCGACGACGCACCGTCACAGTAACGTAACGGCATGAGATATGAAATAGATGGGGTCCCGGAACCTGCGGCATTGTTCTAACGTGAGTTCTTGTATCCCGTATCCCTGACCCTGAATCTATGTGCTATGTACATCTCGGGCAGCTCCGGTGCCTCCTGAGTCCTGACGCGAGATTTCCTCGCCGCATCGTGAGTGTGAAACCAGCCCATATCCTGTGTGGTATTACTGAGAGCACTTGCCCCCGCGGCAGACGAGGCTATCGGAACAGTCGTTTTCGTTGCGGCACGACGCACCTATGTTCGCGTCAGCACTCACATGAAAGAAGGTGTGCCGGAAAAGGGAGGCATAAAGAGGGTGCAAGACGGCTTACCCTCGCAGTGACCCTCCCACGTGCACGTGTTGCGCGACGTGCTGCACTTGCCACCAGCGCAGACGAGGTCGTCGGAGCAGTCATTGTCCGAACCGCAAGAGGCGCCTGTATCACAACCGTCAGCATGACACCATCTCATCTCCCCTCCCCTTCCCATACACGCCCCAAGTCTCAGGCGCAAGCCGACGAAAACAACGACGAGGAGCACGCACCCTTGCAGTGGCCTTTCCACGAGCAGTCATCCCCGCCGGGCGGGTTCGCGGGCGGATTACCGCCACCGCCGTTACCGATGCGCTGGATGAGCGTGTCGCCGAGGCCGGCGATGCTGCGCTCAAAGTCGTCGTAGCTTTGGGCGTTCCATTTTGCGCCGCGGGCGCCGGGGACGGCGTCCTTGCCGGGGAAGGCGATGTAGAGGACGTCGTTTTCGTCGTGGCCGGCGTTGCCGTTGATGCCGCGGCCGAAGCAGGCGGTGGCGAGGGAGATGGAGGCTTCGCCGACCATGGCCTGGGGGCCGTCGTCGCCGTTGGTGTCGCCCCAGACGCCGTAGATCTGCAAGCACAAGGTCAGTATAAATCATTCTTCCACTACCCGCTCCGACATCTCAAGCTCCAATTCCGTGGCAATGGAATACGTCTCTTAACGCGATGAGTGGATGAAAAGGGGGGTGGGGGCAAGGGGCGGATAGACGCACAAGCTTGTTGTTGCACACGACGGCCATGACGCTCAGCGGCTCGATGCCGTACTGCTGCGGGTTGAACTTGCGCCACCCGGGCTTGGAGCCGTCGTTGCCAAAGACGACGTAGGGGTGGGCGTTTGCGTCGAGGTCCCGCTGGCCGGTGCCGTACGAGGCGACGGTGTCCTTGAAGGACGTCTGCGACTGCGTGTCGTCGGAGCTGCCGCAGCGGCCGTCGTCGGCGGGGCCGCGCTGGATGCCGTCGCAGTCAATGTCCATGTTGGCGAGCTGCCCGCCGCGGCCCTGCAGGTAGACGACGTTGTAGTCTTGCATGTGGTCGCCGCAGTACTCGAAGTCTTTGGGGTAGGGGTTCTCTCGTCAGCCCGCTGCTGGTGTGCACTCACTCGCTCACTCACTCACACTTCCTCAGACACCACACGACGCAGTCTCATGAAGGGGCATTGGTCGTGATGAGAGAGCAGAGCCAGTGGAGGGGAGTAAGGGGGGGGGGGGATGGTTGAGACGTACTGCCAGAGTCGCCCTGGACGCTGTGGAATCCGCCCGCGAGGACGTTGCGGCACTGCTTCTGCGCGCGGATGCCGTCGTAGAAGCTCTTGACGTTGCTGGGCACGTCGCGGGCCGAGGCAACGGCGCCGAGCACGGCAGCCGTCACGGCGAGGGAGCTGCGGAACGACATGGTTTCCAAACTCAAGGCGGTTTTACTGCACTGACGAAACTCTAGGAAGTTTGGTCTGCTTCGAGGTGACTCCAAGCCGGCCAGAGAAACGGCGGCGCTGGTCTTTATATCCCCAGAGACAGCTCGCTCCATGTGGGACGTGGTCCAGTGTCCCCTGATGGGCTTTCCTGCCTGGGCGACGTCGCAGCGCTACGTTCCGGTACGGCGCGAAGAAGTGCATTAGCATCTCGCACTAGTTATCTACATAGGTTCGGCTCATCGGGGCGGCTTCGTTGTGGTGGTTGGTGGTGGTGGCCTGCGTCAATGTGGCTTTTGTATCCCGCATCCCGAGGCTCCCTTGCGAACAGGCGCTCGTCAGCCAATGCCGCGCGCAAGGATGGGGTCAGCCAGCCCCCTTCCCGGCTTACACGCATCATCCATACACAAATCACACAAAAATACACTGCGGCTCGCTGCGAGGCGGCACTCCCGACTCGCGAATTCGCAACCTCAGCCCTTTCATCAGCTCTGCTCTGGGCTTATGGTCCGAGGCGGAACAGACATCAGCATCATCAGCCGCACGAACGTGGGCTCACTGGGGCGGTGTATGCGGTACATGCGGTGCATGCTTGTGTGCAGCGAACGGGGTGGACAAGGGGATCGCACTGGTGGGAAAATCATGTCGGGGTTTTGCGTCTGGGACGGGTTGCACCGAGAGGATGATGGATGGGGTAGCGTCGTATCCGTGACCAAGGGCTGGAAGAAGTGTTCTAGGCGTGCACCGCGGAGATCTCCACCCGAGCGCCGGCGACGGCGGCTCGGTCCCGGTCTGGAGAGTCTGGTGCAACTGTGACGACGAAACGAAGCCGCAAGGAATATGCGCGTACTTCGTAGATGGAGTTCTCTCTTTGCGCGGCAGGCTGGGGGAAGCGGCGTGCCCACTCCAACCTCCCCATCTATCCCAAGGTAAGATGCTTCCTTCGGGGTCGGAGTTGCGGGAGTGGCCTAGCCAGCCATCGCGGTTACAGGCTGATGGGTTGGGGAGAATACCCGCCGGGATAGACTCCAAGTCTGCAGCACGGCTCTGCCGTAGTTTTGTGAGATGGGGTGAAACAGTAATTGAGTTGCGTTGTGGCTTGCATCGTTACCCTTCCTTGCGTTTGGTGTTGCTGGCTCCATGTCCCTGACGCCTGAGACTGCCCCAGTTCGCACCGACGAAAATCGTAAAGGGCTCATCGTCTGTACGATTTACAAGTTTACTCCATATCAAGACAAAGTCCCTTGATTCATCGAGTTTATTAACGTGAGCCCCTGCTTGTTGGCATTGTCCGGGCATTGATGAGGACGTGGAGCAACGCTGCGCTCAGCAGTCGCAGCAGCGGCCGCTTGAAGATTACCAGCGCAGAATCGATTCTCCCCAGGACCTCGTGTGTGTGCGCATCGCCCATGCGATTAACAGTTCTCTTCTTTCTCTCCCGGTAGGAGGGCTCGGGTCTGGTGCAGGGGTGGCGGGCGTTCACAAGCCACCCACCCATGCCTCCAGCTAGGACTTTTCTGAGTTTCATCCCGTGAATCATCCGCCTCGCAAGAATTACCTGCGATTCGGCGTCCCTGCGGATCTCTAGACCCTCCGCTTTCGCGTATTTCTTCTCTACACAAGCACCAGACCTAGTGTCAGAACTCGACGAGTTAAAGGATCTTATAATGCGTCTAGTCGCGGGGCCTATCCGCTCAAGCGTTTGAGCAAAGAAGACGAGCGACTCTCCAGATCCGAGATCTCTTCCTTTATTCTCTGAATCTCCATAAGAAGTCCCATTTTCCTATCCGTGAGTTCTAGCAGTAGCGTTGCCACAGCGCTCCCGTTCCATCCTGTCTCAACCGCCCCGACGCTACCTGCCCTTCTGGCCATCACGCTGGCACACAGACCTGCGAATAGAGGTATGGTCACCTTCATGTTGCGGCTTAGCCGTTTGCGTCTCTTGATCTGATCGTTGCGAAGTGTAAGCCGACAACAGCATGACCCATATATTATGCTACGAAAAGAAGACGACTGTTGCGGGGTGCAGTTGTTAAGTGTATGCGGGATCGTGCGTACGAATGTGCCTGGTATTGCTTCATTAGCCTAGTGATAGGAGTGAAGGAGCTGTTCTTTGTGAGCTGTATCAACCATACGCTGTCACTCACCAATGGTATGGTTAGTTTGTGACCACGATGCCTCCCTTGTTTATTGGGCCCATCTCTGACAACATGAAGCAGGTGCATTCCGGCTCAGGTGAAGTAATGGAAGTCCCGGGGCGTTTGTGCTGACACGGACTGCCGCACTATTTATACTTGCGACTATCCTCCAGCCGGAGCAATGAGGCCTAGCAAAATAACAGCCAAGATTGATACTGTAGCAGCAGTACAACTACATGTGTGGCTGTATAAGGCCACAAGTGTAGCACTTAGCATACATCGTACGAGAAGTTATACTTCGTTGTCCATTCGAGTCCGATGCTACCATAGCTAAGCTTCTCGTTCGTCACTCATACTCTCTAGAGGTCATAAATCGGGCCCTGTGGGCGGTGACACTGTCGCCTTAATTCCCCTGA